GGCTGCTGTGTGCAAAACAGATGGAGAGGCGACAAGACTGCAGCAGGAAGAACACGTAGGAAGCTGTTGGGACAAAAGGTGATGGTGGCTTGAAAAGAAGGGTGGTGGCAGCGGAGACAGAGAGAAGTGGACAGACTCAGGATCGTTTCTGAGGAGAGACCTAACAGGATTCACTAATTTGGATGAGGGTGGTGAAGAAATAAAAGTTCCAAAGTAGGACTCCTTCTCTCCACCCATCCGTCCATCCATCATCTTTCTACCCACTCATTCATCCTGTAATTTATTACCACTTTAACTTATATCCACCTGGCCACCAACTTGCGCACATGCCCATCTAATCATCTATCTGTCTACCTTTCCCATTATCCTTCCCTCCACCTACCAAATTTTCCACTCATCTCCCACTGACCTACCCATCTAGTAATTGCTCGTCAAACATTTCTCATATGCCAGGCCCTTTGCTAAGTGCTGTAGGATGAATACAACACAGGCCCTGCATATCCATATTTGTAACAGGAGGAATAATTACAATGCTAATAATTAGGACACCAGGTACAGAGTAATGAGTGCCATGAGACTTAGGGCAAGCCTCTCCGGGTCTCCGTTTTCCACCTCTGAACAACGTGCCGGGACCCAGTGGTCCATGATTTCCTGAGAGGGTTTTTTCTTGCCCTTCCTTTCTTGATTTCCCATCTTCGTTCTCTGCCTTGATCTGACTTCTACTCCTCTGGGAGGAGCCCTGGGTTTCAGGGGTTTCTGCACCGAAAAAGGAAATGGAATTACACTTTTGTGTAATTTGTCCCAATGGACTCTGGTGGTAGCATAGGTGGGATGAGGCATGGGAAAAAAATCACTTAAATGTCACCTACTTGAATTTTCTTGGTGAGGGGTTGTCTTGAGTATCATTTATGTACGTCCTGGTTCACACAGGTATTTGTGACACTAAAAATTGAGTAACAATGGTCAGGACTTTAGCCTCAGACTGGAACTGGTTTAGAGGGAAACTGATGGGCTAGATGAACGGATGGCTTATGGCTGGATGATGGCTAGATGGATGATGATGGGATGATAATTAGATGATAGCAAGAAGGACGGATGATGGGTACATGATGGGTGGATGGATGATAAATGGATGGATGAGTGATAGATGGACAGATGGAGGAGGATGGATGATGGTTAGAGGAGGGACAGATGGATGAACGGTAAATGAAGTGGGTGGACTGATGATAAAGGATGGATGGATGATGGGTAGATGGTGGATAGATAATGGGTGGATGATGATGGACAGATAAATGGTTAAGAATAATCAGTGA